CTCACGGGGGCGGGCGGGCGGGCGGGCTTGGGCCGGGGGCGTCCGTGCCGGGGGCTGGGCAGCCCCAGCTGGCTCCCGCCAGGGCTGGCGTGCAGAGCAGGTGTTGCCCTGCCCGTGCCGCTGGATGAGCCGGGCTGGCGTTCCCCGGATGGCCCCGGCGTTAGACACCGGGCTGGCCGCCGCTCTCATCCCAAAAACGGGGGAGGTCGCTTTCTGCTAAAGCTGGGGACCCCTCCGGCCTTACCCACCACCCTTAAGAGTCTGAACGCAGCGTGGGACTGGGAAACGTATGTTTGATACCTTGCTGAGGGGATACTTCAGCACCAGAAAAATTGTTGGTTAGGCTGGGGGTGAGGTATCCAAAACCGTACTGAAATGTATAAAAGTGTGTGTGTGTGTTTGGGCCTTTTCTTGTTTTCTGTATTTTATCAGTCCCATAGACCATATAATCATGAATGGTTTGGGTAAAAAGGTAACTTAAAGTTCATCTAATTCCAACTTCACTGCCAGGGCAGGGACACCTTCACTGGACCAGGTTTTTCAGAGCCCCATCCAGCCTGGCCTTGACAAAACCAAGCTTAATTGTGTGTCCAGCTGATAAGGGCTTCTTGCTAAGACTTTTCTGGGTTTCCAAATAATCACACAGTATCTCCTACACCTCTATTTATTACATATTGCTTTTAAGCTGTTTCCAAATAAAGTGTCAGTAAAATGCTTGTATATGAATAAGAATCACAAAGTATGCCAATTCATAGAATTTCCTCTTCCAATCAAAAGTAGCTTAATACTCAAGAAAAAGCAAGGTGTGTTAAGTATATTTGGTAAACAAGTTTCTAAATAGAATAGTGAAGCAGACATCATCATACAATAGATTTAAAGATGAGTGATACTCTGATTGGTAGCAACATTCAGATTTGACTGTTGCAATGCACACTTTCTTAAGTGAAATGCTTTTTCGCAATTATCCAAGTATGTCTGTTAAGCATGAGTGCATCTTAACCAGAAGACTGTAAGACATTTATGCATTAAACTAGTATTTTTCACCCAAAGCGTTGTATGAATTCATTTGAAGTACGTACATGAACATCATAAGACAGAAGGAGAAACAAAGAGAATTGTTTGACTCCCTTCATTTCTTCATTTCATTCTCCCTTCATTTAAAAAAATCCCTAGGCAAGCTTTTACAGCTAAATAATATTAGTTTAATGTATCTAAGTTGTTACAATGAGAGTGAGGGAAAGCAGTATTAGATTGGGAAAACATGTAAGAGACTTGCCTGCTAATCATCATTAGGCTGGTGGAGTCAGATGCATTTGAAATGGCAAGATTCTATATGAGACAGCAGTTCATAAATCAACATTAATAATGGGCTCTTGTTTTTAGTATTTAATCAGATATAATAAAGAAAAACAGTGCAGTTTTTCTAATGCTGGAGCACCAGAAGGGTGAACTTTATTTTCTGTATTAGCAGTATGCAAGCAGAATTTTATCAAAGACACTGGCAACATTGCTGTGCTGGTGAACTTAGGAAGCATTTCTTGCAGTCTAAACTTGGAAAAAAAGAGTCATATCCTTGGACCACTGAAAGAGATATACTTGTACAAATATAAAGGCAAAATGCAAGAATTGCTCTTGCTTTGTTTTGGTTTGTTTATTTTTCTAAGCCAGACATAATTCTTTCAGATGTGGAATTGTGGGTTCCACAGGCTCTTCTTGTCCTTCCCTGTTGCAATATATAATATTTCAAGCTTAAATGTTTAAATTTGTCTGAGGAGAGGGGATGCTGACGCAGATGCACATTCAGAAGAGTCTTACTGGGGCTGTATGGATTTGATGGTGTTTGCATTCAGATATTTGAGGCTGGAGGCCCCACAACACCACTGCTGTGAAGCCATATCTGCACTTAGGGCAAGCCAGACCACTGGGCGCCAAATGCTTGCTGCTGGGAAACGTCCACCTGTGCTGTCCTTGTGTTGGGGGTTTTCTTTGGGCTTTGCAGTGCAATCCCAGTGCTGAATGCCTGTCAATGGCTGGAGGACATCTCCCAGTTTTGTGTAGTCTAGAAGGGATCTGACTTGCATGTGCCAAGCACAACTCGGGAGAGTGGAGTTGGCAGCAGCTCAGAGACTTTCTCCAAGAGCACTCTCCTGGTTAAGCCAAGACAGTAACAATCACACCCAAACTTCCTAGTGTGTTCCTTGGTACACGTATTTCAGCAACTTTAAAGGAGGTCAGATCTTTTCAAAGACCAATTTCCCACGAGCTTTTTTCTCAGAAAAGCCTTTTTCATAGGAGCACTATTAAAGGCTGGTCTTTAAGTAAAGTAAATTGAAATCCAGTTAATTTTCTCTTACATTGTTGGCTTCTCCTTGCTTCTGTAGCCTTGTTGGTCTCTCTCTGTGCCTGGAATACTTCCTGCTCACAGTAAATCTCTACTACAGTATCTGGTTTTCAGCTTGGGAGACAGAAGTCTTTAGAGTTCAAGTTCACTTCCATCTGCCTCTTGAACAGCATTCCAAATCTCCTCTTGTCATCCCCTCATCGTCTCGTGACAAAACATCTGGATGTTTACAGCCCACCCACATGGCAGGAGCTCAGGTGTTCCAGAACAATACACAACAGTTCTTACTCAGTCTCTGCAGCCTTTTTGTACTTCTGCCTGGGAGTTAATTGATCCTGCTCCCTGAATTGCTTACTCTTTATTTGGTTGTGCGGTTGCATTTGTTGGCCATTGTATCAAGCACCCTTTAATATATTTATGGCAAAACAGGATGTTATGACCCTTTCATCTTTTCCTTTACCTCTCTCTGACTGCAGACCTATAGACTTTTCTGCCTTGCCTCCCACTAAGCCAGTCAGATGTAAAGTCATGGGTCTTTAGGGCCCAGGAGCGTGGCTTTGCCATGAAATTCTGCTTTTAATGAGGAAGCTGCTCCACTGAGGGCAGAGGAAGAACTGATCTCTTGCAACCGAGAGATTATTTCTTGCTTCGTCAAACGAGTGTGCTCAGGGGCCTTCTTCAATTAGAAGCAGCTCAGTATTCCAGGTCATCCCCTGAAAAGACTTCTTGATTGTGTTAATGATGTATCACCTGCATCACAGGTTTTTGTTTGCTTCTTTTTAATATGTGAAGAACACATAAATACATTTTTCCACTGCTACAGACATGCAGTAAAGTTTCCTGCATTTGAGGAGAACTGTGGATACCAGCACACCCAGAGGGCATGTAAGCCTTGCCTTGTGGAAAACCTCTTTGAGACTACTGCCATCCTGGAGGTGATCACTAAGTCTAGTGGTATCGCCTTTTCCATTCTGTTTCTTTTAGGAGCTTTGTTCTGGTGTTCTCATCTGGCTGAGCAAAAAGGGCACTATTGCCTTTTCACTCACTTTCCCCCTACCAGGCCCTAGTTCTTTATTGTAGCAGCTTTCCTTTTTTTTCCTGCTGCCTGCTGTCATCCCTAATCCAATTCCCTTTACAAGGAGGAAGAATGGATTTTTGTAGTGTTGCTCTCAAGTAATAGATCAGACTATATTCTTAAAAACCCTGTTTGCTAACATTCCTGCGTCTCTGTACCAAAACCTCTGGTGCTGGCAGTAGAAGTTGCTTTTATGCCTGAAACTTTTCCCCAGATGTAGGCAATGTGGGTCTTGTTTCTCTCCTGATCTCTGTGAGGTGTAGGCAGCAGGTGCCCTGTAGCCTCCCGAACATCAGCCTGCCAACTTCCCCACCCACTAGCAGCTGATTGGGAATTCATCCTGGCTCACTGACATGGGAAATGTGTCCCCATATAAAGGTTGTGTCTTATCCACAGTACAAAACACAGACCCTGATCCTACACTAGGGAAGCCCTGTGGAGTGTGTTTTTTACTCCCGGTCTTACACAGGCTCTTGCATTTTGGTTTCTGACTCTCTGAAAGTTGTGCCTCTTGGTGCTGTATTTCAGGCTGCACTTGTGCACCTTGCTCAGCTCTTTGCTATTCCCTATCAACCAACATCTTTTTCTGTGACAGATTTCCATTCATCAGCTGTCCTTGGCTTGTGCTGGATTCTATAGTGCTCAGGTACTTTGCTCTGCTGCTCTTGCTCAAGATAACCATGCTTATCTTCTTTGCAAACTTACCTTTGGTAGGTCAGATCTGTAGTTCTAGTTGGTTTTTTTAATCTGGGTTATGTGGGCCACCAGAAGAGCAAGCAGAGCACATATCTGCCTTTATTATAAATCTTTTTTTTCCCTAATCTTTTCTCTAGTCTTTTCTGTCTTGGTGCAAGTCAGTAGGAAGTTTAGAGAGCTCATCATACTTTCCTTACCTTTTAAGTAGTAATATTTTTGTTGTTGTTTCTTATATTGAAGAAACTACCTTCTTTCCTTTATTGAAACATTGTGCCATTTGACTTGCAGTAGGTTTTTGCAAAATACTAAATTTTGCAAAATTTAAGTAATTTGCAAATTACTAGGTGAAATCAGCTTCCCCTAGCATTTATAAGGTAACTTTCAGAGTCTCTCAGAAAGACTCTTCATACCACCAATGGATCTTGAAATTCTCCTTTTCTTTAAGGGCCAGGATTCTGAAACATAGTTTACACTGTGCTTTGAATATTTGGCTTAAATAGTCAAAAGAATGAACAACAAAATGAACAACTAAATCTCCTAATGAGAGGTTTTCTCTGCAAATACTCATGTTAATTGCAGGGGTTGCTACATCTTGTTTGCTCATGCTGGTTTACCAATACAATTTAAAAGACAAAAGGTAATGATGAGATGACTGGATAGTTTTCCAGAGAAGTGTCTTGGTAAACTTAGGTCCTTATGCAGGCACACTCTTAAACTGTGTTGAGTGGAAATACACACAGCAGTTAAAATCAGCGAAATGTAATCCAAAGCAGCAAGTTATATGTAATTGAGGTGGATTTCACAGCTCAGAGCCAATATCAAGCCAAGATGTCTGGAAGCCCTGAGGTTGGGTTGTCATGGAACACAGCTTTCTGAACAATCCCAGTTCTCTAGGATTCCCTTCACATGTGAGGTGCTTCATCTTTGTGGTTCTTTTCTGGTCTCTTTCCAGTATGACCATGTCTCTTGTACTGTGGAACTCAGGACTGGATGCAGTAATTGAGGTGTGGCCTCACCAGTGTTGATTAGAAGAGATTCCATTCTTAAATGTGAATAAAAATTATTTATTGAGGATCAGAAATACTGTGCTGTATGGATTCTTTGCTGATTCTTTGGCCCTCCAAAAGAGTGGCTACTGTTTTTCTGGTAAGGTGTTCTGATAATATTTTTTCTGTTATAAGGGGTAGGTAGTTTATAGAATGGCAAATAATTCTTGAATAATTTGGATATTTGAAGCTAACCATTAAACAGGGTAAATTTTTAGTTTCAAATACGCTGTCATTTCATACCATGATACACATGCTTGTAAAATGCTTACTGCTTCAAACATGTCAGTATAGTCAGCCTGCTTCTGAAACAAAAGAATCTGTTTGGTTTTGTGTTGATTTTCTTAATTGCCAGTGTGGTGCCAGATGAAACACACTTTTATTTGGAGGAAGAACTTCCAAGTTATATGGGTTGTCCACCTCTTTCCCAGATCAATAATTCTTCATGATCTCTACAATGACAGCAGAAGCCAGTTTGACTCTGCCTGTGTTGCATCCCCACTTTTAACTGGCACAATTCAACAAAATTCTCTGATCTCTGTCTTGGGAGCTGCTGCTTTAGGTGCAGTCTTCTAAATGCTATAATTTAAGCTTTTTACACTGTCTCAGTAAGACATGATGTGAAGTCCCTTGGTGTGTGTGTGTTTTTCCATTTCAGATTATCAGATTTTTGTTGAGTAAATTGCCCCAGGTCTTTAAAGACAGCCTGTTGGTCTGTTTGATTGTGGGTGCTGGAAATACTGACAAAACCAAGAGCACTATGCTCCTTTGTGTTTAGACCTAAAGTGTTTAATTCTAAGGTGTCTGAAAGAGATCTAGATTTGGGCAGAATAAGCCATTGGCAAATACTGCTTTGTTCCTGTTTTGTTCAGTATTCTTTTTGTCCACCCCTGTTGTATGGAGGTGTCATGGATTTGGGAGAGAAAGAAAGAAAGCCTCAGACAAAATTTTTGTTTCCTTTCACTAACTCAGCTGCATTATGAGGAGTGTCAGTGGGTGTTCTGATGTGGGTGGGAGCTGCAGGAGCTGCTTGTATCCATGTCAAGAAACCTACCTATGTTTGCCATAAGCCATTAATGTTAAAGTCTATGCTTTCTTGCTTTCCATACAGCCAACAAGATTTGTCCCTGTAAGCCAAATCAAAATGGCTTTTTCCTTTCTCCATTAGCAGCAAAATGGTTTTGAGTATTTGTTCATAACTTTTTGTTAAGCCACCTTGGATAAGGGTGTGTAAGGAATGTATTTGAGTTTGCTGCTCTCCAAATGCTGCAATAAATTCTCAGTGATTCTCAGCAAATGTCACATGTATGAGTATTGCAGCTCTATATTTTTTCTGCTAATGTTCTGATTTTTAACTTTGGAATTTATTTCAAAGGATATCTCTGTAAATGTCCTGCTTTTAGAGATGTCTTACATGGACTGAGCATATGCAGAAGGTTCTCATGTTTTATTTATTCACCATGTCCAGTCAACTTAAGTCTACTGGAAAGAGAGATTGTGGAGATTTCGGGAGATGATCCTAGTGTCCCTCCTAGCAGCTGTGATGAGAGCATAAATAAATTAAAGCTGTGCATGTACAGAGCACAAAGATCAGACCATTTCATATTTCAGTGAATGGTAATCTAGAGCCTTCATTCTTAGCTATTTTATAATATTGAAAAAGAAACTATCAAGCACAGCTGAGCCACTTGCACTAAACAACAGTGATTCAGCACTTCAATTTGCCAACAGACACATAATTATCCTCTAGTTTTTATATGTCAAAACAGTGTAGGAGTGTAAAATAGTAAAAGCTGATAAGCTCATTTCTTTCTGTTTTTTCAAGTAGCAGTAAGTAAATTGTTTATAGAGCATTTGAACGGATGTTTTCTACTAGTTAGATACACTGGAAATATGAGAACACTAGAAACGTTCTTATTGCCTAATAGCAATAAATTTTAGTTACGCCATGCTGTGGTATAGTGAGGTACTGCCAGGGACTGTGCTGGTGGAACAGGAAGGGATAGTTTCCTTACATCTTAGGAATTCTTTTAGAAAGGCTGAAGTTCTGTCGACTGAGTCATCAACTCTTTCATGGTGTTGCCATGGTTAATAAAATTTAGTATTTCCCCAGATGAACCAAATGCATTGATTTCTAGAGAATAATTTTGATGCTGATAAGACCCCATGGATGGAACAGGGACTGTGAGCACATGTGCAGGAACTCTGAGCAAACAGAAAACAGCATTGTAGCCAGCAACTATTAAACTAATTTATTAAATGCTTGTAACAAATTTGTTCTCTTACATGCTGTGGTAAGGTCTGTTGTTATCTCAACCCTTTGTGCCCCACATTGGGCATCAAAAAGTTTAACCCCAGCTGGAATACCATGCAGCCGCTCGCTCACCACCTCCCTTCTCCTAGTGGTTACTCTACATTTCCCATTATAAGAGAAGAAACTTTAAAGGACAGACCTAGTAATAAAAATCTGAAGCAATTTGCCTTCATTAATGTAAAAATTGTCAAGCTGAGGTTTCTTTTAATATTATAATGTCACTGCCTACTACACAACTCCTATTTGTGAGAAAATCTGTCTATAAAACTTAAAGGAAAAGTGCTTTGCAACTAAAAGTCAAACAGTGGCAACAGGCATCATTGATTTGGTAGGCACACATGACAAAGTAATTCAGTAGCAAGAAAAAAAAAAAGGCCATCTGAAAAAAGTATGTAGTGAGAAGTGTGTATAGTTAAATTATCTGAATTTCTTTGGGAACAGCCTGTAATAAGATGGCATAAAGAAAGAAGGGTATGCTTTTCTTCTACAGGCAGAAGAAACTACCCAAAATTTATCTGTAAATTTACCATCTACACTCTCCATAGCTTTTTTTTTTTTTTTCCAACAGCAAAGGAGCAATGAGTGTTCCAAACATGTCACAGGATGCTCAGTTTGCTTTAGCATTTTCAGGTGCCTCTTCCTTTTCCCAGCTCAGGTCTAGGTAGCTTGTATGGGGAGAATAACTGGAGAGATACAGCAGAAATGAACCCTCTCCACTTTAAGCAGTATGGGGAAAGCTCCTACTTTGCTGTTTAACTGCTTATTGTGCTTAATGTTACATTATTATCTGTTTGGTTTCGGTAGAATGTAACCAATGGCATGATGAATGAGAACTTGGGGAACCTGCAGATTAAATTTTTCTAATCATTTTTATGTTAACAACATAGACAGTAGCTTCCTCTTGTCAGCAAAATTAAGTGAAGCACAGCTTTAAATTTACTGCATCCAGAAAATACTGCATGTAAATATGGAAAATGATAAATATTATTTTCCTGGTTACTAAGGAAGCGTGGTACTGCTAATGCTTTGCTCATTGTCATTATTTGGTAATTAAACTTCCTTTATTTAATCTTGTTAGAGATTCTGATATGAAGTCTTGGGGGAGGGGGGAAAATGAGAGGAGTTGATGTGTCAGGTTAAATTTTCTTTTTCAGATGGTTCATTCATTTTCTCATGGTTATAGTTTAAGTACAGGTTTCTATTTCCCTCACACTCCTCATTTCTTAACAGTTGCTACAATTTCCAGCTGTGACAAGCTTTCCCACCAGTTCTGCTCCTGCGCCCCTTGATGTAGCTGAACTAATGATCCAAAGTTGCTGTTCTTTCTCCAGATCCCTCTTCCCCTCCAGGGAGAAAAATCAGGATAATTTTAAGGGAGGATCAAAGTGAGAGAAATGCTGCTGAAAGAAGGGGAATGAAGCCTGAAACTGGTTGGAGTGGTACTGTCCAGGCACCAGCAGGCAAGGGCTACCTCAGTGACCTTGGCAGAGAGCACACGTGGTTCCTCACTGTGGATGGATGTGTCCCCACAGCAGCAGGACAGGGAGCAAGGAGGTCTCATTTGGTTGCTCTCCTCCCGTGTGACTTCACAGCAGCCTCAAAGAGCAGCACTGGTTATAACCAAACACTGAAAACCTTGAGGTTTGTGGGAATTGATTGCTTTGAGTCATAACTAAAAAATTCAACAAAAACCAACCCATACAACGCTTTAAATAGCCGTAGCAAACCAGTATTTCATTTAATTTTCTTTTAAGATGGAAAGAAGATGTGCAGAAATAGTGGCACTTTATGATGCTATAAAACTGGGGGGGAAATGGCAAGGCGTGGTTACTGTGCCCTTTGCTGTTCTGCATGAGGAATGTGTGGAAAGAGCAATGGAAAAAATGAAAGCACCTTGAGACAGTGATCATGGCAAAGAAGGGATGTTGTACACATGATCTGAAGTATTACACATAATGGACAAAAGATGTTGCAGGATTCCTCCAAGTGACAGTTTAATGTGCTTCTTGCTTCTGTCTAACAATGCTTCCTGTTCTTTTTCTTGCTTGTCTCCCTAAAGCTACTTAAAATAATGTAAAATGAGCAGTTTCCATTTCTGTCAAGAGTTTTAAACCCATGTATATCTAGCACCACCCGCTGCTTTTAATCCTAATAGGATTTTCTATGTGCTTTATTTCCCAGGGATCTACTAATGTTTAAAAGAAAACTTGTACTAAGTAAATAGAAGATGGATTTCAGGTATATCCATCCCTTTCTTTTTCTGAATGTGTCTGATGTTTCCTGTGCAAAGAGATCTTTTGACTTCTGGTTAATCTTATGAGGAAACTGCTATGTTGCTTTAAAAGTTAGAAATTGAGCAGTCAGTATTTTACAAAATATTGGCATTTTAAATTACTTTAAAGTCCTTATGCAAGTGACAAAAATACACAGAAGTGAGTGGCCTGCCTTTAACAGGCTATTTTTTGTGAATAACAGAAACAGAGAGAAATTACTTTCATTGTAATTACAGTCCTAAATTTAAGAGATATTTGGACGTTTATTGGGAAAAAAGACATTTAAGAGAACAGGTAGAGTGAATAGGATGAATGATAAGCCACCAGGACATCCTGAATGACTGAATGGCAACAAAGAAATGTCTGAACCAAGAGAATAAATACGAAATGATTGTCAGCCTGAATGTTTCAGGTTCAGACAGTGATGCCCAGGATTTATTTCTTTTTTCAGAGCGTGCAACTTGCGAAGTCCCCAGTGACTGGTCTTGCAGGAGAGTACAGGCATTTGTCATGGACTTTGACTGCACTGCCAAGTTGTGACTCCTCTTACTTCTGTCTCTCTGGCGGGAGCTGGAATTTTACCCAGCTGGGGGAGGTTGCCCAGCCCTCACCACTGTTCTGTGGGTGCCGCTACAGCAAAGGTAATTTGTAGCAGTGGGGCAGTGGCAGCTAATTGCCCACAGGGTGCAGGATAATAAACAGGCAGCTTTTTGAAGGAAATTATTTAGCTTTGTTGCAGTGAGTAGATGAGAAAGAGAAATACAGAGGGGTTTTTGATTGCCTTTCCTAAGCTGTTTTTTCTGGTTGGATTTAAAGCTTCTACATCAGGTTCCAGGCTCTCTGCCTGCCTTGCGTGGCTTCCACAAAGTCTTGTGTGGCCGCTAAAGTGGGGCATGGGTTCGCTCAGTGAGTGACTAAGAAGGACTCAGTGTCACAGCAAGGGAGCAGCAGATGGAGGGAGTAAGTTGTTGCATGCTGTACTGCTGCAGCCTCTGCTGTTCTTCTGTCCTTGGGACTGGCATGGCACCACTCTGCAGGGCCAGAGGTGGCAGCGCTGCTGTGTGTGCTGAGAGGTGTCGCGTGATCTCCTCCCTCTGTGTGATCTACTTGGGATCAAGATTTCTCACTGCTGCTTCTGTGTGCCTCTGAAGAATGAAGTCCTGCCCAAGATGAATTAATTGTGAAACAGCTTAATTTTTCCTTTGTGTTTTCATCATTTATTGTTATTTTAGTAGAGAAATCATAGTAATCAGCTTAGCCTTAGCGTATCAAGAATTGATGAGCATCTCCGATGTGTAGGAAACGTCTGTAGGAATCAGAAGGCATAAGGAATGGGGTGAATCATCAATGTCCTGCAGAGAATTGAGCTACAAGCAGCAAGGAAGAATAAAAGATAAAAGGCCTTTTCTTATAAGCAGACTTTAATAAACACCGAAGTTGCACAATTTCCTATTACAAATCAGTAGGTAATGAGGAAAAGAAGAATGAAAGATTAAGTATTTGAAGTGGATAGATAACAGTTTTACCCAAAACATTTAACTAAGAAGCAAAAAGTGAATATAACCCAACAGCAAAGTTCCTCTGAGCCTGGAAGATCATTCCACTTTTCCCCAGCCAAACTTTTTGATTCACCTAATAGTTTTCTCATCATCTTCTAACTTGTCTACTTTGCATTCCTTAATAAGGAAGAGAATTGTAACCTGCTTAATGCTAAGAAACTAAAACCAAACCAACCTGAACCAGAAATATGTGTGTACATACCTTCAGACCAGCAGCTATGGCATCCTCCTCTCCTCAGCTGCTCATCCTCAACTTTTGTTAATTTATGATCGTTATCAAATTGTATATAAAATAGATTATTAAAGCCTTTTCATGACACTGACCACAGCCAGGCTAGAGTGAAGTCCAGATTTTCAAACATGGTGTAAATCCAAATCTCCGTTTTTAAACACGGCATCTACCTCAGTCACTGCTTGGGCTGACAAGAAAATTTGTAGTAGATATGCAGATCATCTTGTGGACAGTAGCATTCCAGTAATTCCAAAGATGGCTAGCAAAGTTGGAAGGAAAAAAAAGCCAGACCAAAACAAACAACTACTCTTCCTTCATTCTCATTTCTTCTTCCTGTAAATGTGACTTTAAAACACGTTTTGAGAATAGGAACTGAAACTGTCATGTTCTGGGACTCCAGGACAGACTAATGAAAGAGATGCAGTTAAAAATCTTGTATCCATATCCATTTAAGTGCATTTTTTCCTGTTGAAGCTATTTTTAGTGCTAGAAATAGAGTCCACAAGTGGGCTAAATAACCTTCCGGCTATTTAAGGGGGATATATTTTATTTTACAATATATTAAAATATATATTTAAAATATGATATTTTAGCTTATTAAACTTTGACAGAGTCATCTGAACATACCAGCTTGAGTGTTGGTTACAGTGAGGGTTGTTAAACCTGTGTTTGTCTGGGTGACCTGCTATCTTAATAGAAGCTTTAAGTTGATCAGCTGAAGCAGAAGGACTTTCTCTTCCTGCAACCTTTTTTGATAGCCTATATCAAACCTAGATAGGTTTCCTGCTACTAGCATAAGATTTTGAAGCAAATTTTGAAATCCTTTCACTTTGAAAGAAATTCTGTATGTAACAAAAAATATTTATTCCATGTCTGTCATTCAAACTAGGTATCTCCAAAATATCAGAACTTAGAAGAAGGGCTGTAATACGACATTAAACTGATAGGTCTTACAAATATATTTACATCATCTATCTACATAAAATGAAAGAGGAATAAAATTGGTGGGAAACAGTTCACATTCTTCACACTTTCTGCCTGCAACTTTTAGGCTTTCAGCAGAAAATACATTTTCTTTATTTTAAGAAATAAGAGCAATGAGGATATTTTTGAGGTAGGCAGTAGAACATCTTTTAAATTATCATTAGGTGTGTATAAAAAGGCAGAATTTCCATGATTTTTAAATGATTGTCTTGTAACTGAAAGATTAATATTAAACTGATTAAACATTCTGTCAGTCTCCCTTTGAGATACTCATTAATTTTTCAAATGAGACTCATTATAAAATCTATCATATATGATGTTCTAACATGACAAGTGTGTCTGTAAGTTAGAATAGGGAAAGTTGGGCCTTTTTTCTTTTTACTAGAATAGAGAAGAAAGGTTAATACATTAACTTAAAACCAACATTTTAAAAATAGTAAAAATGCTTAACATATATTGCAATTTAACAACAACAACAAAAAAGCTGTAACAACATGCTTTTGCCCTCTTGACAAATAAAAATTGCAAGGCTTCTTGGCTTTTGATTCCAAACTTTACTGAAGTAAACCTGATTTTACAAAGTATTACAGAATTGGGTTAGGTTTGCTACTTTTGGGGGAAGTTTAATGGAACTGCCTTGTTCTGGTGGGAAGTTGTTCTCCTAGAATATTTTGCCTGCCTTGTTTTTTTCTCAAGCATCTACAAGTTGCTTTACTGACAGTCCTTTTCTGAAGTACATTTTGAAATTAGTCTTCACTTTTGCTGCCCTGAAAGGAGAACCAGACTTTCAAATTTAAATGTTTCTAGCTAGAAGCACACACACTTGAAAAGATCATGAAGAGCGGACAGGCTGCGTACTCATCTTAATTCATGGACATAAAAAGCTGCTAATCATAGAAACATTTAGGTTTGAAAGGGCCTTCAAATGAGATCTTCAAATCCAGCCATTAACACAGTATTGCTAAGTCCACCACTAAACCATGTCTCCAGATGTCACATGGACACATCTTTTAAATACCTCCTGGCATGGTGACTGCTCCCTGGGCAGCCTCTTCCAATGCCTGACCACCCATCTGGATTGTAGGATGATTTTCTTTGCTACTGGTGCAACTTGAAGCTATTCCCTCTCATCCTGTCAGTTGTTACTTGTGAGAAGACACTGATCCCCACCTGGCTACATTCTCCTTTTAGGCAGTTTTAGAGACTGACAAGGTCCCTCTGAGCAGCCTTTTCTCCAGGCTAAAAAACCCCAGCTCCCTCAGCTGCTCCTCATAGGATTTGTGCTCCAGACCCTCTGCCAGCTTTGTTCCCTTCTTTGGATACATTCCAGCATCAAAATGTCTGTCCTGTAGTGAGAGGCCCAGAACTAAATGCATTATTCAAGGCACTGACTATAAGGGGACGAGATTTAAATAATTAATAAAAATCAAAAATTTCCAAAGGTTAATTATATCACAGCAAAAGCAAACTTCTAAAGCAACTGTCTTGTGACTTTTAATATCTTTCTTGTTGTTGTTATTTTGATTAGTGTTGTATGTAATGTTTCACATTTACTTTAAATCTCTTAAAAAACAGTGTGTTTGTTTCTCCTCTAGTCTTTCACAAAAATCAAATAATGGGATTTTTTTTTCCCACTTACCCCCAGGCCAACACAAGCTGTTTGCATTCCAGCGATTCACCTGCACATGACTGCAGCCACCATGCAGGTCAGCCAGAAGGACTTCCAAAAGGCTCAAGAACAGCTGAAGCTTTTGAAAAAGGATCCTGGGAATGAAACTAAGTTGAAACTGTATGCCCTGTTTAAACAGGTAGGCTTGACTTGACTTACTTTGTTTGGTAAAGAGCATTTATAACCTGAAGGGATAGGCCTGTAAATTTTATTTAAAATACAGGCTGTTCAAATGTATTGTGTGTTAACAGGCTCTTCCTTTTATGTGCTCAAATTGTGTTCCTGAAATGTCAGCCCCTTAAAATGCCTAAATTCTAAGGGAAGCCAAACCTGTTTTTCACATGCTTTGAGTAGAAACCTTTATTCAAAGAAAGAAAGTAAAATTACATCCATTGTGTGATGCCTTCCATATACGAATATTGATTCAGCTTTGGAAAATGGTTTATGTCTAGGAAAAAAAGAGTAGGCTGAATGCTTCCTCTTAAATTTCTTATATTACACTTCCAGATGACTGTAGATATAATGGTGCTGGCATTTCAAAGTTGATTTCTGGGGGTTTTTCCTCTCTTTGTTTTTTTTTTAGTATGGTTATTGTAGGTTTTGTTTGGGGTTTTTTGTTTGTTTATTTTGAATTCAAGGAACTGTCCTTCTGCAGTTCGAGTGAAGGTTATTCTTTATCACAGTATGAAATGAGACCTTTGCAGAAGTAGCTTTATATCCATAGTAGGGCTTGTATTGGTATTTCAGGGAGTATTTGTGGATCTGGATTGACTGCAGGGTCAGTACAGGCTGTGGCTTATTATGTTGAGGAAGGCAATCAGTAACACATTTAAAAAAACCTTACAGACAGCTGATGGTTCCAGGTAGCTTTATTAATAGTAGGGAGCTCATAAATATATTCTTTCTTCTTTCTTTCCTGCCTCCCACTTGAAATATTTCTTTCCAATAGTTTATTTTTCTTCAGGAAAACGGATCATAGAATACTGCAGGATAGTTCAGACTGTTGCAGTTCACCTTGTCCAGTGCCCTTGGTCATAGCAGGGCCAACTTTGAAGTAAGATCCAAATTAATAGATCCTATTCAGTGGTCT